TTTTTTTGGAGGCCAATCCAAGTGGAAAATTAGCATCGTTGAACTTGCACCTCAACTATAGAACGTGGATGTGTGCTTAAAAACCTCAAAGACTGTACGGTCTTACTGGAACTTTTGGAGCTGCAGGTCCTCCGCCTTCCTGTTGCGACACCATGTTTTGAAGAAGTCTAAATCCGCCAACTTGCGATAGCAGCTTTCGCCAAAGCGGCGAAGGGTCTCCAAACAATAGTCACTGTAGGAGTTCCACTCTTTGCCTTCAAGCTTGGACATCACCTGGGATTCCAAGTCGATGTGGATCTCATTGACAAGCTGAACAAGCTGGTCCTCCTTCTCCTCTCGGGTGTAGTGGTTGATGGCGCGTCCCATCCAACCTGAAGACACCTGCGAATCACGATGCGATGAGCTGGATGAGTCAACAGAGGCAACAGACTTGCCATCAGATTTGGGCGACTCCCCAAGCCGAAGGGTGGGGGAGTTACACTCTGAGACGGCAGACTCAGCCTCAGAGGACTCACTGCCAGAAGGCTCACCTCCATCATTTCGACCGACACGCACCAAAGGGCCCTCATCACCACTCTCACTCTGGGAACCCTTGCAGCTCGACGCTGCTTCTTCTGCATCTGAAACTGGATCATTGCCATCAATAGGACGAAGGTCGTTGCGAGCAGGAACCACCTCCAAGCCCCCGCAGGTTTCCTCCTCCCCATCCGGCTTCTTCGAAGGTGACTCCTCGAGGAAAGATTTCAAGTGGGTGATCTTGTCGTCTTGCCCGTTGGTCTTGTTGGATCTCCACAAGTTGCGAAGGGCTCCAAGAAGTTTCTTGAGCTTGACACCCTCTTGTCCTGCCAGTGTAACTTTCCCCTCAGTCTCAGTTGGGACAATCATTTTCTTGCCCAAAAAACCATCGAGCATCAGGAATGCGTCGGTGAGAAAGTACGCAGACGGGACCTGCACTGCTTGGCTCGATCAAAAACACAGGTCATGAGAAAACACATGTGTTGATTATTGGTATCATTGTAAAGGTTAGGAACGCAATCCCTTTTCGTAAACCTGCGCCTTGTTTGGCCACTTCTTCACAACAGGCAGTAGCCACGGGTAATTGCGACTAATCTCTTTGGCGGTGGGTGTTCGAATCATACGGCTGTCACTCAACTCCACCAAAGCGGACCCCTTGAAATCAGGATCCTCGAAGATCGCAATGAGGCCCAATGGGAGATGTTCTTTCATCGATTTCGCCAGAGATACCTCAGCCGACGCACGTTGTGAAAACTCTTTGTTTTGATCTTGAGAAAACGAGCTCTCATCAATATCCCTGAAGGTGAAAGTTTCCTAGAACCTAACACCAACCCATTTCGCAACGATCGCACTGACCAGAAAACCTTTTATATAGTTATATATGGCCATATAGTTTTGTATGTATTAAATAGCTATATATTGCAAAGTTGTATGTGCTATATAAAGTTTGATGGGTTGGTACCCTTTCCATGGTTGTGGAATTGGATACAGTCAGGATGCCTTTGCCACACAAACTGTTGGTACCAAGATGCTACGTCTTCTTCAGTCCAGGACACCTTTCCAGGCCCTTGGAGCAATCGGCAACTTTCCCCAGGTTCCAAAAGAAGATGATACATTCTTAGGACTCAGGACCCTTTCTCTTGCTCTCTTTACGACTTTTAGTTTTGCACATGTCAAACCTGCCCGCATCCGAGGAAATCTGAGCGGAAGACTCACTGACCGCCACTTCTGCTGCAGCTTGGACGACATGTCCACGAGTGGGGGAGAGCGCAAAACCAAAAAGGTCAAAACGGCAAAACGGGCTGCGGTGGTTTCGTGAAATCTTGTAACGCTTGATTGTTTGGCACCACTTCACAAACTCGAGAATTGCCTCCCCTCTCAAGAATTGTTCCAGACACCCCCGGCGCGGGGGCACTTGACGAAACGCTCTCCCCCACGTTCCGCCTCGGGCCGGCAGAGAAGGGATGTCAAGCCAAGACAAAAGAAACAAATTCTAGAATCTTGCGTTGGGCTCCATCGTATGGAATGCTTTTGGTCGAGAAATGTGAAATGAATCGCTCAATCTTGGCATGGCTAGTTTACAAAACTCGAAGAGCGAGATCGGCTCAGCTTCACCTGGGATCCCCTGGCGGCGCCACGTTCAGAGCTGCAAGCGCTCAAGAGACATTGCCACCCAAGCACTCTCTCTTTACGCAAAAAGATCTTTTTTGTATGTTTACTGTCGTTTTCCTCAGCTCAGTGAGGGCGAACAAGAAAATCAAAGACTCATACGAATAAACATAAAATATGGGTGATATGCCGCTATAAACCCTCACGTCAACAAAAACATGCATAAGGGTATACATAGGAGTTGACCTGCAGGCCGGTTGCGTTTCACCTTTGCGGCTGGTTTGCTCGAGCCGGCGGGCGCCTCGTCGGAAAAAAAGCTCTCTCTCGAGAGAGAGAGAGAACGAACCTGTGTGGAACACTTGAGGACCACAGATGACGAAGGTGGTCTAAAGGAGGTCTAGGAAACAAAAACAAAAAACAAACAGCGCGACACATACGTTTTTTTTCAACACCCCTTGTGGTTTTTAGCTGTTCACACTTACGCAACATGCCACGTATGCGGTCCACCCGCATGAAAGCATAGTTAGTCGATAACTTTGCAGGCAAAAAGATAGCAACTTTGCAGGCGCCCATGGACACTGTAGTAGCGGAGCTGTACAGCTCAAGAAAGCAGCTGCAAACGGCACGTTTTCTACAAATGGCAAGTGCCGGTGTGGTTTGGAGAAACGTTGTCCAAAGGACATGTGTGGATTGTCAAGG